AGAGGTGGTGGGTGCTTTGGGAGGAACGGTTGGTGAAAGGGCTGGAGGGAGGCAGCATGTCTGGCCTTGCAGTAATAGGCCTTGGGTTACTGCTGGTAATCCTGCCTTCCTCTTGTGGGATTAGAGGAGGTCAGAACATGTGACCTCCTTGCCGTTTTTGCAATACCCAAGGAGGTATAATTTTCTACTTGGATTTTTTGCTTTTAGCTTTATGAAGTAGCTTTCTTACAAAGAAAAAAAATATAGAGGGAGTACTTTTGCAAATCCAGTATGAGAAATTCTGTAAAATAGTTACTGGCTTATAAATTACATACTTCTCTACATTCATCCCCTTCATGATTTTTAGAATGTTACATAGTGGCAGATTTAACCTGTGATTGAGGCCCCTAAGCAACTTCAGAACGTCTTACCTTTTCATTTCCTTTCTTCCTCTTCCCATTTTTTCTACAACTACCATTCATTTCCGTTTTTCCCCTCCTCCATTTCTCCTCACTTGGATATTAGTGACATTCAGTGCCATCTGTGGACATTGTTTATCCTACTGGTTGTACTCTGTGCTAAAGATGTTATGTAGACTACAGATACTCCCTGTAGAGAGAGAGTTCTCCCACTCTTACTATAACAAGATATTGTACTGCCTATGCTCAGAGTGGTTCTCAACTTTGAAACTTTTGCCCGAGAGTTTAGTCATTTTGAATGATTAAATTTAAGGACATATATCAAAGAACAAATAAGATTTTTTCAGGTGTTATATTATGATGATGTATTATTGTGACCAAAATGAGTTATGTTGTAAATTATAAACAATAGCATTTTATATGCCTGTTCAGTTTAAATCCAGCTATTTAATTAAATTTTTTTGCTTCACTAATTTAGGTATGGATGGCAGAACAGAAAATATCATATGATAAGAAGAAACAAGAAGAATTAATGCAGCAGTATCTTAAAGAGCAAGAATCATATGATAATAGGTAAGAAATTCCACTATCCTGGTGTTTTTTTAGAATAATCAATTGCATGAAAATAATCCCTTACTAAACCATAGATTAAGTCAACTTTTTTAGTTGAATGTCTTAATGATAGGAATCTGTCTTTCCCTGTGGAATATCTTCTATACCTGTAGATGGCTGCTTTATACAATTTTACTAATAATTCACATAAAATCTAGATTCACATGACACATGTACAATCTGTGAGCATGTTCAAAATTAGTCAAAGCTTAGAAGAAAAATAAAAATCTACACTTGAACTACTGAGACCTCTGCGCAAATGAAACAGTGCACAGGAAAGCTTCAAGAAAAAAAGTGAAGTATCTCTAGTTTAGCTGTCTGTCGTTCTTTTAATGGTAGGAGCATGGCTAAGTTCTTCATTGGCTTCTTTCATTTTAACTATAGTCATTTTATGTTAGTATTTACAAGTGAAACTGGTTTTTACTTCTCTTGGTTAGTCAAGCAAATGAGTAGTGGTACTTAGTTACATTGACCATACCCTGAGTTAGAGAGCATTTGCTTTAATCTGAAATTCTAGAAGAGAACAGTAAATTTTCCACTCAGTCCTGTTTTTCATCAAAATGTGGAGCTCAAGTGAAGTAATACTAAACTATTATTAAATACTCCCTTTAAAACATAATATTGTATATGGAGAGCAAAATTAAATAAATAAAACTCAGTTCAATTAACTATCTTTCTCTAATTTTATTTAATCTGGCTAACTTTTAATAAGTACTCTATATGATATAACACATGATGTTATGGTAGTTTTCTTGCTGTTATTGTGTGCCATTAAGTCCATTCTGACTCATAGTGATCCTATGTGATAGACTAGAACTGCCTCATAGGGTTTTCTTGGCTGTTACCTTTATGGAAGCAGATCACCAAGTCTTTGTCCCACAGAGCCTCTGGGTGGGTTCAAACCACCAACCTTTGGTTAGTAGCTGAGTGCTTAACTGTTGCACCACCAGGGCTCCATAATAGTCTTATAGGAGCATATAAAGGAACTCTGGTGGTATAGTGGATAAGGCATTTGCCTGCTAACCAGAAGGTCAGTAATTCAAACTCAGCAGCTACTCTGTGGAAGGAAAATGGGTGATCTACTTCCATAAAGATTTACAGCTTTGGAAACCCAAAGTGGATTACTATGAGTCAGAATCAACTCGATGGCAGTGAGTTTGGGTTTTTTTTTTTTTTTTTTTTAGGAGAAAGAAAACAAAACCAAACTCACTGCCGTCAAGTCCATCTCAACTTACAGCGACCCCTCCTTGGGTTTCTGAGGCAATATCTCTATGGAAGTAGATTGCCTAATCTTCCTTCCAAGGAGTGGCTGGTGGATTTGAACCGCCAGCCTTCTGATTAGCAGTCTAATGCCATATAAAAACGTCTAAAACATAATTTTTCTCTTAAGCTAGTAAGGGGTATGTACATATAGTTCAAGGCTAAATATAATAACTGATGTATTAAAAACACACTGCTCTAAAACAATGCAGCATGCTAATATAAGACAGAAATTCCATCTTCCAAGAGAATAGTTTATGAAAGAGGTGACTAGGTAGAATGATGCATGTTTAGTTCAGTGTTTGTTACTGGGGGCCATTTTTATCCCCTAAGGGTATGTGGCAATGTCTGGAGACATTTTTGGTTGTTAAAACTGGAGAGTGGGGGAAAGGCTATGGGCAGATGCTACTAGCAACTAGGAGTAGAGGCCAAGGATACTGCAAATCGTCCTAAAATGCACAGGACAAGTCCCACAACAAAGAACTGTCTTGCCCAACATGTCAATAATATCACTGTTAAAAATCCCTAGTTTAGATATAGTAAAAAGCTTTCTAAAGATCAGCAAAAAAACCCAAAAAACTCCCTGCCATCACGTCGATTCAACTACTCATAGAGACCCCTCCTTGGGTTTCCAAGGTGGTATCACTACGGAAATAGATTCCCCAGTCTTCCTTCTGAGGAGTGGTTGGTGGGTTTGAACTGCCAGCCTTCTAGTTAGCAGTCAAATGCCTCAGACACTACACCACCAGATGAGCACAAAGTGAAAATGTGGAGGGTTCAGGGAGCAGCCAATAATTAAGTTCCAAAATTGAGTTAGAGGGATAAAAAAACAGTTAAGGTGGAAAAGTAGGTTTGAAACCTACTTTTGATCATAGTGTTTGTATTTGTTTTTTATATTGAAAAAAGAATTACTATTTTTCCCTTTGCAATTAATAAATATTAGAAGCTCTACAGAAACTATTTCTCCTTGAACTGTTGCCCACAGGCTTTAGCATTCATCAGCGCGTCTTGCCTGTGATTAGTGCTGGGATGTTCTAATGGTGATACTCTATTCCCTCTTTCCCTCTACCTTTATAAATTTGAATTCTTCTGTGAAGAATAATTTTCTCCTTTCCACGTATAGTTATTTATTCATTCATTTACTTTTATCAATGTGAATTCATGGATATTTATTTCATTCTTTGGATTATAATCCAATACTATGGTTATTTCTTTTGCTGCTCAAATTGTTCTAGTCTTGGCGCTCTGAGCTTGACTCTTACATGCATTTAACATTCCCCATCCCTTTTTGTTAAACACTTTCTGGTAGTGCAAAATGGTACAGACTTATCTTATATTTTTCCTGCTTCTGCCTGGAATCAGCCAATTTTTCAAGGAACCCTGGTTCCTTTTATTGGAGAATGGCATTTAGAAACCAACATCTGGGCACTAGGTCTGTTGATGGAAAATAAGGTTATTATTGCATCTAGGTTTGTCATTGAATGCAGATTTAAGAGTTATTGGTCATTTGAAAATTTTTTTTATTTTTCTCATTAAAAAATGTTATCCTTATTAGCCAATTCCCTTCCCCCCCCTTTTAGAAATCTGTTTCCCTTTTGTTAAGTTTTTTGTCTAGGTTTTTTTAATGTTTATGAATATTGATCCCTATTTGTGTATATGTGTGTGTGTGTGTGTGTAT